TACAAAACACATCGATTGCGCGTCTCTCACTCGCCCTTAGTCTCTACAATGCACATCGCTTCTGCGTCTCCGACGGCCACATAGTCTCTACAATGCACATCGCTTCTGCGTCTCCGACGGCCATAGTCTCTACAATGCACATCGCTTCTGCGTCTCCGACGGCCACATGGTCTCTACAATACACGTCGATTCCGCGTCTCTCACGGCCACATAGTCTCTACTCCCTGCCGCTGCAAGCGCTAGCAAAACGCTGGTGCCGCTGGAGAAACGCAAATCGAGAACGCTGCGTAAGCTAGCGATCGATAGCTATGCTTCCCGTGCCCTCGCTACGCCAGCGTGCCGCTGGTGACGCTGGTGAAGCTAGATCGATATGCATCCTCTCTTCGGCACTGCCGCTGGCGTACGCTGGAAGCGCTACGCTACGCTGCGCTACGCTACGCTACGCTGCCGCAAAGTATAAACGCAGCCTAATTTGTGTTGTGGCACACGAGGCTACTCGTGTAATAAATATATAATATATATTAAAGAATTCTGTCATTTTTCCTTTCACGATCAAGTGGTGGAACTTTGAATTTCGTTTTACGAGTGGTTCTTTGCAAAGAAGTCGGGGCAAGCTAGAGAAATTAAAATCCAACGAATCTTTCAGAATCACATGATTGGCTAACGCGTTTTTTTTCCAACCCGTGTGAGGGCACCGAGTCCTTCGAATAATTGCAGAAATTCGGTTCCGCTGCTTCTTGAAATCGAAGTACTTTAGTATTTGTGCTCTTCGTGACTATGATCTAATGTTATGTGGCGCCCTTGTCAAGCGCGCGATCCGGGATCATATTCTGAATAGAGCCATTCTCACGCTCACTGAGCTTCTCATCCTTCCCTGGTCGAATATGCTAATCAGTCTTGTTTGTATGGGTGAAGTGACTCCACTCTTTAGGATTCGTGGCTCTCCTCCGCAGTATTCGTCTGTTAACATTTGAAATGTCACTACGGCTTTGAACCGAAGTAGGATGCGTGGCGTATCCCAGAAAGAAATTCAAGTAACTTTTTTCAGGCGGTATGCTGTCGTTAGTCGTGCAAAGTGGTTACTTCTGTGAAGTTGATCACTGACCATGAGAGCGTACATACACTGCGTCCCTAAAGAATAGTATAGTTCCACCCATAAATCTCACAATATCCCGCCCTACACGACGTTTTCAAAAAAGCCTCTAGATAGAAAATGTGGTAATTACCAGTGCCAGTTTGCATGCCAACGAGAACTAACTTTCCAGAGCAACTTCAATTTTCTTTATTTTTTGAAAATTTCTCACTTTGACAATGTCCCAAAAGTATAGTTCCACTAAACAAATCGATTCATAAAACAACAAGTGTACAACAAAATGAATAAATTGTTAATTCAATAATCTATTGCAGCCCCATTCCTTTGAATAAGTTGGAAAATGCGGTTGTCTATGCTCGAATAGAGGTTTTAAATCAGTTTTCGGTCGACATGCTGCCATGCATCAATTATTGACTCTTGAGCTCACGGACATTTTGGAATCGCGCATTGTTCGCGTAGATCTTGCGTACCATGAAGCCCCACACATTCTCGATTGGGTTTAAGTCAGGGCTATTCGCTGGCCAGGGCAAAAGAGCGATTTGATGACGACTGAACCACGCTCGAGTGCTCCGGCTGACATGAATTGGTGCATTGTCTTGCACGAAAACAGGACTTTCATGCCGAATCCTTCGCCAGAAAGGAAGCAGACCTCGTCGCATGACGTTTACATAGTCGGAAGAATTCATTTTCTTCGATACGAAGCACAGCTTCAAGACGTCCCGTTGATGCGATCGCAGCCCAGACCATGACACCACCCCTCTGAAGTTCCGCCTCGAAAAATTGAGCTTATTCCTCAGATCGTGCCAGTAAAATCGATTTCCATCTGGGCAATCGCAGTTGAATTCCTTCTCATCGATTTCACTGAGGCATCGCTGTTGCAATTCCTTCTCATCGCGGAAAACAGAGCCTAAAAAACTGAAAAGACAAGACAGACAAGCAGTAGGGCACCGCAGTTGAGCTACTCTTACCCCAGTCGGTTCGGCAGCATCTTCTAGCGAAGGCAGTTCGGTTTTCGCGATGGAGTTTCTTCAGAGATGACTTGATTTCCCTGCATGATATTGTGGAGTTGGACGCTTCTCTTGAGACACGGCGTTTACCCCCTTCAGGCAGCAAAGGAGGACGTCCAGATTCTTCCCGATTCTATATCCTGTGCGGTTCCCTGACAAAATTATCGGGTAACATAATGACTGCGGCCCAACTCCCTTGACGGTTCGAGAGTCCTTGAGCCTTCTTTGCGATGATCTGCCCTTTTTCGAAGTCCGACAATGAATGTCCTCTTGCCGTGACCTTGAAAAGGTGAAAAGTAATGATGATGAGACAGTTGTGGTGACGGTGAAAAGAAGAGCCGACCGCGATCTGGCGAAAAATATGCCTTGCGTAGAACTACTACTTTTTGCGGACTGTTGTCAAAGTGACGAATATTTTCAAAAAAAAAAACGCAGAAAAATGAAAGGTTCTCTGGAAGTTAGTTCTCGATGTTGGCTTGCAGCACTGGCAATTGGTAATTACGATATTTTCTTATTTATGAGGCTTTTCTCTGAAAAACGGTCAGAGGAGGCGGGATGTGAGACTTGGGTATGAGTGAAGCATATACTTTTGGGAACAGTGTACTGGATTATCGCTGTACAGTTGACGCAAACCTTTTTTGTGTGGTGGTATACTATACCTGTTTTCTTAGTACCTCTACCTGGCTTACCTCCACCTTTCCCTTCAATCAGTCCCTTCCCTCAATTCACCATACTTCTATGAGCATAAGCATTCGTAGTATTTGTGTAGCCTATTATTCAAGCGGAGTTTTTGCCTAGTCAGCATTCAAAAAGGCCTTTCACATATCGAAAGTTTACCGAGCAGGTTTACTAGGCTATTACTTTCTTCTTATCGGGCGTCGTATCATATCGCATATGGACCAATTACCTCTTAGAAATCTAACTAATAGCTAATAAATCTATAATCTAAATCTATCGTCAGACAGGGTTCAGCGTAATTCGACAGTCGAATATGTTTCTCCTCTCTTGTGCAGGCAGTTGCGCACGACAATATTCGCCTACATAGCCTACAAATCTAGATAGAGCGGCTGTTATAGTTGGAGAATGGCCGAAAAACGGCACGTGAGAACGTTCAAATTCCGGCGGACAAAAAAAGCCTCCAGTTGCTCCAGTGATTGTAAATCGATTTCGGTACGCACGTTGCCCGTACCACCTTGCCCAATCAAGCCGTACGAAGCGTACGGCTGGCGATAGGTGTACCGTATGATAATGCCATATGCCAGCATCAACTGCCGCCCTTCATACCAATCCATTCTTCATAATTTGCTTAGCAAATGAATGAATACGAGCGTCAGAAACGGTCGTCCGTTTGTGGGCGGGCGGGCAAGGAAGGCGTTTGGGACGTAAAGTGCTGGCCTCAATAGCCGCGCATTATTAGAGCGTTACCCCTCCTTGCGAAAAGATTTTTCAGCGCCACCCGCCTGTCCGATGCCACGCGAATCTCTATTTGAGCCAGTTGTACAAATCCTGCACCTGTATAGCGATTTATCGTGCCAACTGCCTTTGGTTGTAAACAGAGTCAAAAGGCGTAGCAAACTCATTGGTTCTTATTGGTTTCTGCTACTACCTTCCACTCGTCGTTACCATACCTCTGTAGCATAGTCACTCAATTTGACAAAATGCATAGCAAACTCGCTGGGACTTCTTTTGACTCCTGTTATCATTTCCTATTGGTTGCTATGACTTTCTATCACTAACCATCAGTGACCTCTTCCCTAAATTAATTGTCGAACGAATGTGCCACTATTGCCGCAAACGCGCCTTGAATATGGTGACACCGATTTTCTACTTCCTCTTGTCGGTTTTTGTTGGAATATCCTGATCGCCACTGTTGAATATCCTGATCGCCACTGTTGGATCCCTTGACTTCTGTGTTGTCTCTGGGAGTGTCGAAATAGACGATACGCACAGTAGGTTTATCTGGCGAGTAAACACACACAAAACTAACTCAACCCTACCGCTCACCTCTCTTAAATACGCTCTCAAAAGAGGTGCGCAGTATCACACTTTATCAGAGTTCATTCCTCTATACAACACCTCCCCCCAGTAGAAAGACAAGGAAAGATTTGAACAACAATATTTGTCTTTCTACTTACAAGGGAAAACAAAACATTCATAATTTGAATCTAGACATCAATGCCATATCGTTTCACGGGTCTTCGTATTCTAGTCGATCGTCGCATTGATAGTTCTGGAGAGCACGGTAGAGCGGTGTTGACGTCCAAGTCACTAGCAGTATCGTCGTTGCTTTTTAGCCAATTGTCGTCCACTTCTAACATGTCGAGCAGGGTTTTCAACGATTTGTCTACACGATTCCAGCTTGTCCTTGTGTTGCTGTGTCGTAATTGGTTTGCGTGTTTCCGCATCAGTCTTCCTTCCACGGGGACCTCATAGTTGACCTTCCCAAGGCGTTTTGCGACAACTCCTTGCTTCCATGTGGAGTGTGGGGCTTTCCGCATCTGCGCGTACTCGTCTTCCTTATGGAAATTCTTCAAAATAGAACCGTTTCTCCTGTCGTATTGCTGCTTCATCTTCCTTCCATTTTCTTCGGCGTACAACCTTTTCAATGATTCAGTTCTGTCCTCAAGACATCTGTGTGGGGTGGTTCGGTGTGCTTGCCGTATAACATTGAACGTATCCTCTGACAGTTTCTCTTCCCCTTTGAGGTTTCTGATTCCTCTCTTCAACGTTTTTCTTCAACTCTATGTCTTTAAGTCTGGGGATGCAGTTGGCCTTCACTTCAGCCATCATTTCTATGTGGTACATCAAATTCTCATTTGCTCGAATCCATTCGAGACCCAAAAGTGAGCTATGCGGCGTCACATAGGCGTCTCCTTCAGTAGTGACACCTTTCATGGTAATCTTGCATTTAAGCTTTCCATATATCTTCATGGAATCTCCACTTGCGTTTTTCACGACTATATTGGTCTTTTCCAATGCTGGGGAGCCCATCTTCTTCCAAATCTTCTCGTTCAGTAACGTGATGTCTGATCCAGTATCGAGAAGGAATTTGACAGAGTAGTTGTTCACTACAGCGTCGATGTACACACGGGAAGAGTTGGCCTTTGAACTGCTGCTATCTTGACGGTTCGTACTTGTTTTCTCGGACCTCTGTTGTCTCTGTTCCTTGAGAACTTCTTTTTGATATGCTGAGTTTTCTGTGTCGCCTCTGTGCGACCTGCAGTCTTCTTTTGTCGTAAAGTGTCACAAAACCTTTCCTTGTGACCGACCTTCCTGCACTTCTTGCAGAACCAAGGTTTCGCTTGGCATCCACTAGCACGATGGTTGCCTTCACAGTTCCAACATTCTATTTCCTTCCGCTTCTGTACGGACGTGGCTTCCACTAGTTTTCACGAGTTCGGCGACGAACTTCACGTCTCTCTTGAGCGCTTAAGAAGTTCGCACTCCTGATGCAGTTGGTTGCCAGTGAGACCGTCTTGCCTGCTTTATAGTCTCTATCCAGTATTGTGATCAGCCTCTGCCTGATCTCTGCCTCCTGCTGTGACTTCAGTCCAAAAATCCACAGCAAGCATTTGATTCCGTCCGAGTCTAGCTCGTGAATCTTTGCTCTCGCAAAATTCATTCACACGACCGGTATACGTGAGGAAGTCTTCTGATTGGCTCTTCTCTAGCTTGAGACATTGATATCTCGTGGTGAACAATGACGACTTGAAATCAAACAGTTGCTTGAGTATGTCCACCGTCTCGGTGAACCCGATTTCCGTCACATCTCTTGGCAGCACATGTCTCTGGTACTTCTCGAAAGATACGGGATCCAATTTTTCGCAGAGCAATCTGACTTTGCTACTTTCAGAAAGCTGCTTTGCGTCTTCGTTGAACACATCCTTGTATCTTGAAAACCATTTGGAGAAAATCATGTCGGCATCCGGGTCTCGATACACAAACTTTCTCCATGCGACGTTGCTCAACGCTGCCATTAAGTTTGGAGTGCTATGATGCTCCGTTCGCTATTGCCAGCTCTGCCCTGTCCGCGGCCGTCCTTGGAATGCGATCTAGCAGTTTGGCGATAACATTCTTCTGTTCGTTCATAACATTCCTCTGTTCGTCCATCATTTCTCTAAACATGGTCAAGATGGTGGTCACGTCCATTTTTCACAAGTGTCGATGTGCTTGTCCTATTAACTGAAGCTAGGCTTGTACTTCTGTCGATAACTTGTGCTTGGCTGGCACGCTGCTGGTTATCCGATCCTGACCACGTGCCTTACAATCCAACTGTGCAGGTAACAAGGAAAACCGACTTCTATCAGAGCAAGAGTAAAGACTTATCTGCTCGGTCCTCGTCCGGTTCTCGCTGAGAATGTGATATATCGGATAGATAGATAAATAACGAGCAGATATATACGGCTAGTATTCTGCACAGTCGAATAAAAGGAGATCCTGCACGAAGAGTCCTTAATTCTTCTTCGTTGCACTATAGGCCACTGGTTCTTCTGCTGTGACCAGAATCCTTGTCTTGCTTTGGTCCTGGTCCTGGGCTTCCCCTCTTCTAATTCTTCTTCTTCTTCTGGGGAATCCTGGTTTCGTTGCTTGAGTGCTGGATCGCTGATCGCCACTGTTGGATATCCTGATCGCCACTGTTGGATATCCTGATCGCCACTGTTGGATCCCTGACTTCTGTGTTGTCTCTGGGAGTGTCGAAATAGACGATACGCACAGTAGGTTTATCTGGCGAGTAAACCACACACAAAACTAACTCAACCCTACCGCTCACCTCTCTTAAATACGCTCTCAAAAAGCAGCGTGGCGCCCAGCTATCACCACATTTATCCAGAGTTCATTCCTCTATACCAACAGTTTTGTATACTAAAGAGACATGCTCAACCACTTATATAACCTCTCTGACTCTTGCTTTTACGCTTTCATCTTTGTGCAGCTAGTAAACTACTTGGCGACCGCTGCGCGCGCTTTTGAACATACAAATTCGGTGTGAAAGCTAGGGAGGTCGTGCCGATTGTAGAAGTACACGATTCTAGGGTGGTCTCTCAACTGAGTTTGCTTTGCCAAGAAGCTGCACCCCTTGTCAAGCCCGTTTTACATCGGAGGAAAAAAAAACATAGCCGCTCATCTGTGCGTAGAATGATACGCCGCAGCACCGGTGAGACAGTTTTTTCCGTTGCGCTAAGAGCTACTTATTGACAGGATTCTCTCAAAATCACCTCACTCCAGGCAGTGCAAACCACGGCCAAAACATCAGATCTATTATTCCCACAGAACGTTTTGCCAGCAGCGGTTGAACTCGGAGGTAGGGCAGAAACCTGGGAAAATCAAAAAGAGTAAAGCACTGAGAAAAAGAGGGAGTAAGCGTCGCCAAAAGAATCCCCTCTACTCGTGGAGAGTCTCGCGTCCCCGCAGTACCATTAGGTAATACCATTTTCAACGGCTTCCATAATTCGAGTGACGAGTGACGGAAGCGCTGCGACGTCACTGCGATCGCGCCGGTACGTCACCGAGAAGAAGATGCCTGCACCCAGCGAGCGCGACAAAATTAGCCAGCGGCCTTCTCACATCCTGTCAAAAACGCGTTAAAGATGTGACGCGTCAAATCCTTCTTTTCATAAATCGATCTGTAACCTTACTCGTCTTCCAGCCTATGGTCCTATTCTCTCATTCTTTATCTCTGGTCTCTCTCTCCTGCACAAATCGTATCTTTCTTGCAATACTCACCCAGTTCGGGGCCTTCTGGGGGTTTGTCTGCTTTTTTTTTCTTTGGTGAGTCGACTAGCGTCCAAAAATTCGGCACTATTGAACTATTCCTACCCAAAAAACTCAAAAAAATTTTTTTCGCTGAAAAGTTGCCTAAAGATGTAATTCGATGCGCTGATCAGGAATATAGCATTCCTTTCGAGCGCTGGCGTCATTTGGCGCCATTATGCGCCAATTTGGCGCCCACCACTTTTTTCACCAAAGTTGATGAAAACTCGCATATGGGGGTTAATTGAGGTCCTGTTTACGGATATCACAGTGGTTTCAAGCGCTGGCGCCATTTGCGCCCCACCATTAGGCCCGCCAATATGGGGCAAATTGGCGCGTAATGGCGCCAAATGGAGCCAGCGCCAAAAATAAATGTTGGATTCGTAATCAGGACCTCAATTAACCCCCACATGCAAGTTTTCATCAACTTTGGTGAAAAAAGTGGTGGGCGCCAAATTGGCGCATAATGGCACCAGATGACGATAGCGCTCAGAACGGGTGTTATATTCGTGATCAGCGCATCAAAATTACATCTATAGGCAACGTTTCAGCGAAAAAAATTTCGAGTTTTTCGGGGTAGGAATAGTTCAATAGTGCCAAAAATTCTTATGTGCGCCCGACATCCCACAAATCATAATCGCGGAATGTGACTTTAAGTCCACTAACATCCTCATCACTCATCGTCCAACTCATCTCTATGGGCTCATAACATCTTTCGTCCAGTTTGATTCCGGGCTTCTTCTGCGTGCGTCTTAGGTTTAACCCGGTGGAACTGAAAACTGGCAGTACATCTGTACCAGCCCCTAACAAGCCCTAGCTTAACATTCTTTTCCAAGATGCTACCTACCTCTGTCAATCTCCGTTTGTTTCCCCCTCATTAATGATCAATTCCCAGTGTCCAACGTCTGTCACACTTATCAAAACATCTTCGTTTTGTTGGGAGTGTGGAGAGTATGGTGCTCGATCACATCTTGATGCTGATCGTATCGAAATTGAACTTGAATGTCTTCACATTTTTTGATTTTCCTAACAGTAACGAAGCGTTTCTCAGAAATTCACTTATTAGTGGCTCTTATCACCCCTTTGGCCAATACCACTTAGCTTTCAAATGGGAACTGGGAAGTTCGGCGCTCGTATCAGTTTTGATTCTGTTGCTATCACAAAGTAATGAAGTGATCATTCGATTAGTCTCTGCGTTTTGACATCTGAGACACAGTGGTCGCACTTCGCCATTAATACCCCCGTTCCAGCCCCTAAATTACTTGCTGGATTGAGCATCTCATAGTTACTTTGACGCTCGCTATAAACTTTACGGCGCCAACTTCCTAACGTCTCTTATCGGCTTTTACAGTTGATATCCCTTTCTGCCACCAAAGGTCAATATTTCCATCCCTGCCCCATAATACTTGCTGGAACCAACGTCTCAGATTTCGTAGCACTCGCTTTGATTCTTATCGTCTGTTATCACTGGCTATCACTTTCTGTCATCCACAAGTAATGTTTGCGTCACACCCCCTACATCACCTATTAATTTGAACTCCCTAAGGCTAAATCAAAGGAAGGTTATGGATTTGCGATCAAGCGCATACACCAACACCCAAACTTAGCGGATTACATATAGAGGGATGATTTGCGCTACAGTGTAGTTGAGTTAAATTTCAACTGGCCAGGCTCAAAATGTTACCAACAAAGATTACGGAGTTTTTGTCCCACTTCATCAGATTTCTTTCTTGACGAACAGGACACCGTCAAGTGAATTGCTGGACCAGCGTTTTCCTGTCACGGTCGCTGGATTTTCTCTTCCCTGCATATCTTGGACCTACTGTAACGCAGAGAACTTCTGGTGTGACTTCGTTACCTGGCGAAGTCGCTGCGAACGTTATAAATTTGTGTGCGGTGAGGTTCAATTTGCACAACTCCTATCCGGAATATTTCGACCACCACTTTGACTTTATTACTGCTCTTCGACATTTGCTGTTTCATATCTTGTGTGAACTGTGGTTCTCCGATGTGTTTTCTGTATTCACTGTGGGAGTTCCGCCAAGTGTTCAAGTGGCTGTCATGCGAAAGTGTTCTTCGGCTACGCATTTGTTGTACTGTAATTCTCGACTGATCGCGAGTTTCACGTTTTTTGCTGCTCGAGTGTACATAGTTAGGCACCGCGAGGATCTGAGAGGTCACAGGAATAGAGGTCTCAATACTCTAGTCGCAGTTTTTCCTACAGACCACACATTGACCCACTGAATGGATGTAAAATCTTGACAAATCTCAATATTATTGGTTTAGAGTTAGGGTAAGGGCATTCAAAATTCATTGCAACGAGAACCCGACACTTATACCGAATCGGGCTATGCATCGTTGAGAGAATCCATGCGGTTGCACCTTGTCAATGGGGAGGCAGTAGTATTTGGTCGAGGAGGGTCGTATC